TCCATAGTGTTGGTACTAATTTACATTCCCTCCAACAGCAGCTGAGCGTTCCCGTTCCTCTGCATCCTCACCAGCATCTGTGTGTGTGTTTGGTCTTTTTCATAGCCATTTGAAGCTGAGGTAAGGTGGTATCTCACTGTGGTTTTGATTTGCATTTCCCCGATGATTAGTGATGTTGAGCATTTTTCCATATACCTGTTGGCCATTTGCATGTCGTCCTTTGAGAAATGTGTCCTTTGCCTACTTTTTCATGGGATTATTTACGTTTTTCAGTTGTTGTTATTTGAGTTCTTTTTGAGTTGTATTTTGGATGTTAGTCCCTTACTGTTAGCCGAACAGTTGACAGATATTTTCCCGCATTCAGGAGGCTGTCTCTTCAGTCTCTTGTTTTCTTGGATGGGCAGAAGCTTATTACTTTGATACAGTCCTGTTTATCTATTTTTGTTTTTGTTGCCTGTGCTTTTGAGGCCTTAGCTATAAAATCTTTGCCTAGACCAATGAGTGTTTTCCTTGTTTTCTTTAGTATTTTTGTATTTTCGGGTCTGAGGTTTCAGCCTGTAATCGATCTCCAGTTGGTGTTTGTATACGGGGAGCACATTTTCTTTTGATGACACTGCCGAACCAAGGGTATACTTTTAACATGATGGTTGATGATTGTACTTGAAGCGTGTTCTCCTCATGTCCGCGGCAACATCCAGACACCACCTCCGGGGTGCATGTCCTCTCCTGGCCTCGCAATGCCAGTGTGAAAATGGGCTTGGATTGCACACCCTTAAAACATCCTCCCTGTCCCTTCCACATCCATCAAGTTAACGGTGCAGGGGTTGTCAGGTAACAGTGCACTATGCCTGTGCCCTGGGGTTTTGGAAATGAGCCTTAGGAAGCCCAGCCGAGCAGGTAGGGGGTTCAGCCTGGAGGGGTCAGGGCTGGGGCTGAGACCCACGTTTTCTCCTGCGGGTCCATCTCCTTTTCCTTTAAGGATTTCCTGGCCTTCCCTCTGTCTCTTCAAGTAGAGTAGACTGGTCCCATGTGACGTTCTTGAACGCTGTCATCGAGCTCACTGTGCTTGTGCTTTTGAGTGGAAGCTGAACCCTGGTCATGAGCAAGAATGGCCAGACAGGGCTCACGAGGCTTGGTTTAGCCAAAGTAGTGACTGCGGGTTTTTCAGTGCAAGAGGCTGTGAAGGGAGGAATTCCTCCTGGTGCCCCTGTGCCCTCCAGCGGCTTCTGCCCATGGGAGGTGGTGGGCACACCACCCCTGTGGTTGGAGGGCTCTGGAATAGCAAGCCCTGCAGCTTCAGTCCTCCCTGTGATAGGGGCCTGGTCGCATGGGGACTGAGAGGCGGCACCAGGGATCTGGGGGCCTAGGGATGTGGCCAGCGAGTATCCAGGCTGAGAGCCCATCACGTGTCAGTGCTCTTGAGGGCTGGGGTCTGTGTGGGGCCATCCGCCGGAGGCGCCAGCCTTCTTCCTCAGGATAAGCCGAGCTCTCTGTTCCTGCCTGGGGCAGGACCAGCCCCAGGACACACCCCCTCAGGCAGGAGGAGCCACCCGGAAGCAGCCTCCTGCGGAGTCTGTGGGAATGTGGAGCCAGCCTGCTCCCTGGGTGATGGAGATGGGTGCCCCCGGGCTTCAGAGTACTCAGGTTTCTGATGTGGCCCATCCATGCCGGAATGAGGCGTTGGCCCCAATGACATGAGACACAGGCCTTCCTGGGTGTCGCAGGGGACTGCCTAGCGCGCCGTCTGTGGGAGCCCAGCACTTCAGAAGAGGGCTGTGTCACTCTCACTTTCCAGTTTGTTTGAACCCGTCCCATTTCTCCCTCATTGCTAAATGGTTGTATTTATCATGGTCTTGGTGTCACTGGGAATTGCAGAGCGTGGTTAGCAGAGCCTGGCCCTCTGAGATCTTACCCCAGCTCCCAGCTTTGCTGAGTGGGTTCGTGCTTTGGGGCAAGAAGCTTGTTTCTAAATCGGTGTGGGATGCTCCCGACTCTGCCTCCTGCTCTGTAGGCTGCAGGGAGGTTTCCCCACAGAGGGAGATAGCAGGATAGCAGGCAGTGTGCCCTCTGGTGAGAGAGAGCCATCCCAGCTGGGAGAACCCTGGGGCCTGGTCCTGCCTGGCAGATGCCGCTCCACTGGCCTCCTGCTGTTTCAGGTCCGGTGATGGGGCCCGGAGGGGTGTGAGGCAGGTGGTCTTGGCTGTGTAGGTGGAGCCTGTAGCCTGCCGCCTGTGACCACCCTACCTGCTGCTGGTTCTGGGCACAGGGGCTGGGGGACGCCATTGCAGATGTGGACATACGTGATTTTTATTTATTTGTAAATAAATTCTTCCCACCGAGTTAGTGAAAATTTACAGGCCCTTTGACTAATGCAAAGCAACTTAAATATCTCATTCAAATGTTTCAGAAAAAATATCTCTTGGCTTGGAAAGATTTCCTTACTTTTTTTTTTTTTTTTTTTGAGACAGAGTCTCGCTCTGTCACCCAGGTTGGAGCGCAGTGACCGGATCTCGGCTCACTGCAAGCTCCGCCTCCTGGGCTTACGCCATTCTCCTGCCTCAGCCTCCCGAGTAGCTGGGACTACAGGCGCCCGCCACCCCGCCCAGCTAGTTTTTTGTATTTTTTTTTTTTTTTTTTGAGACGGAGTCTCGCTCTGTCGCCCAGGCTGGGGTGAGTGGCAGGATCTCAGCTCACTGCAAGCTCCGCCTCCCAGGTTCCCGCCATTCTCCTGCCTCAGCTTCCCGAGTAGCTGGGACTACAGGCGCTGCCACCTCGCCTGGCTAATTTTTTGTATTTTTAGTAGAGACTGGGTTTCACCGTGTTAGCCAGGATGGTCTCGATCTCCTGACCTTGTGATCCACCCGTCTCGGCCTCCCAAAGTGCTGGGATTACAGGCGTGAGCCACCACGCCTGGCCTAGTTTTTTGTATTTTTAGTAGAGATGGGGTTTCACTGTGTTAGCCAGGATGGTCTCTATCTCCTGACCTCGTGATCCGCCCATCTCGGCCTCCCAAAGTGCTGGGATTACAGGCTTGAGCCACTGCGCCCAGCCTGGTTTCCTTACTTTTGTACTGATATTTTTAACTCCCTGAGGTTAGAAGCTTTGGGAAACTCTGGAGAGAATGGTAACGGCGTTCAAGGCCAGCTCCACCTTTCATCTCCCTCATAGAGTTCAGTTTCTCTTCCAAGACCTTTCAGTCATAAATGGTTTTTCCACGGAGCTGCTTTCTAACCCCAGTTTACCTGTGTGTGGGAGGACAGATGGGGTCTCCCTGGTGCCAGCTACTCCTCCTGCACCCATTGCTATCCCCACTAGATGCCCAGCAAGGGGCCTCTTCCTTGGCTGGGCAGAGGAGACCACTCTGAGGGGACCTGGAAGGGAGAAGGCCATGGTGTACTCTGTGTGAAGAGGCTGTGGTCAGAGGGAGGGCTTATGACTGTCCTTGGGTGTGTGTGAGGGCTCAGGGCCCGGGCCAGGCTGCAGGACATCTGCTCACAGGCTCTTGGTAGCTTCGTTCCAGAGATGGAAGATGCCCCAGAAACTCGAAACTAATGCTGAGCAAGGCGGGCTCCAGCCGTCCTCCGTGCCCTGCAAAACAGGCATGGGATGGCGAGGGGCGCGAGGGTGGCCAGAGGCTTTATAAGGAAGTGGCTCTTCCTCTGTGTTTGGAGGAGGAGCTGGGCGCTAGAAGCCCAGGGGAGGGGCTGTGTGAGCACTGGATGAGCTGGTGCAGGGTTTCGGGGCCCCATGGGCAGGGTGCTCAAGTGACAGGAAAGGTCAGTGGCTGTCTCAGGGCAGAGGGCCGGGCCCAGCGCGTGAGGTTTGCAGTGTGTGCGTTTTAGTCAACAGGATGGCTTCTGTGAGGGGTCCATGGTTGCAGTGTGCCTCTGTGTGGCCCTGGCTGACTCGCAGAGAGGAGTTCCCTGGCAAGCTGCTGGGAGGGTGTGCCCAGGATCTATCCAAGGCTGCTCTGGGGGCCTGGCTGACAGAAGGACTGGGACCTCTCCTTCCAGGGGTGCAGGTAGCCTCATTGGCCAATGTCAGGGTCCTCGTTGCTCATTCAGTGGTGCAGTACCAGCTCCCTGAGTGGGGCTGGGCGGGGCTCTCACAGCATTGCCCGGCACCTGCTTTCTGTGTGGACCTGCGCTTGGTCCATGACAGGTGAAGAGAAGAACGAGGATGGGGCCTTGGGCCCGGGCTCACATGCCACTTGCTCAGTCTAGCCAGGGAGCCTTGGCTTTGTGCCCTAGGTTGTGAGGCTGGGAGCGCTCACACACCACTGGTGTAACTATGTGCCCGGCTCAGATCCTTGCTGCGTCCTCCGGAGTCCCAGCGCTGAGTTAGAAGACGTGGCTCAGGCCGTTGCTCATCATCGCGGTGCACGTTGGACTTTGAAGTGGCTGTTTCATGTTGGAGTCTGAGTTTCCTCATTTAAAAAATGGAAACAGTGAACAACAGGGTTCCTCGGGCATTCGCTGAGACAATCTGCAATCGTTCTGGAACGTAGGAAGCGCTGCACCTGGGGATCGCTGATTTTCCTCTTGTTGTTATGTGTGTGTCTTCTGGAGAGGTGAGGAAAGGAACCTAAAACTCTAAAACTCGCTGAGCACCTCCTTTGTGCCAGGTGCCTGGTGGGTGCTTTTTAAACATGATTTCATTTCCTCTGAAGAGTGACACTGTTAGGTAGTGTCTCTGTTTCTACAGGTGAAATAAAACCGGGCTTACTAAGGCTGTCTCCCCGACATTGCATAGGGTGGGAGCTGTGGCTGACCCCCGTCGTAGTGAGTGCATGCTGCCCCGGACCCGGGTCCGCAGAGTCCGCATGTCCTGGGTCCCAGAGCAGCAGCTGCAGAGGTTCCTTTTGGCCGTGTTTGGTGTGCAGAGTCAGGTTTACTTCCAGGGCAGCAGCTGCAGAGGTTCCTTCTGGCCGTGTTTTGTGTGCAGAGTCAGGTTTGCTTCCAGGGACAGCTGGAACTGAGTGTGCCTTCTTTATTCTGCAGGACTCCGGAAGACCTTTCCAGATTCGTGGTTGAGCTGCAGCAGAGGGAGCTTGCCTTGAAGGACAAGAACAGCGCTGTCACCAGCAGGTAGACCCGGCCGCCCAGGGCGCTTGTGGGATGCGTTTGCTTTGGAGAGCTGGGGCGAGTGAGAGTGTGTGCCCCCTGGCTCTCGGGGCACGGCGGTGCTTCACTGTGTGGGTGGCCCTGGTCTGGGATGGGAAGAGGCAGCAGGGATTTGAGGGAAGGGTTTGCCCCATGTTTCCACCATGTGCTGTGAGCCTCAGCTGAGGCACCACTGTCTGTCATTCTGACAATGTGCTAAACTGCCATGGGGTCTGGGGGTTGGCCTCCCGTTGTGAGGTCCCTCCTTGGATCAGGAGGGTTCTCGTCTTCCCAGCAGGGTGGGGCCTCATGTGGTCTTGCGAACCAGCCCGTCCGTCACTAGCGGGCCCACCCTGAGTCTTCACGTCAGCGTGAATGCAGGTGTGATTGGAAGCGGCTAATTGTGCATAGCAAGAGACATGCCCGTCACTCAGGAAATCCCAAGGGCTTCAGGGAACCTGGGATGACAATCAGATATGTGTTTCTTCTTATCCCGCACCCCGCTCTTCTCTGGTTTCACTCGTGGCTGTGAGGGGCCATACCTCTGACATCGCACAGGGAGGCAAAAAGGAGAAGCCTCTTTCTTGGATCTTTTCTGCACAAGGAAGCCTTTCCTAGGACCCCCACTGCCAGCAAGTGCCCCTTATGCCTCCTTGGCTAAAAAGGGGTCTTATGCCTTCCCCTGACCAGAAGATGGAGTTACCATGGGGGACTGAGCCCCATCCGGTGGAACCCATGGGGCTGGTGGGCAGTGGGGCGGAGGGAAGGGCCATGTAACGGGGCCGCAGGGGAGCTCTGTGCCTTGCACGGCTCACCAGGCTGTGGGTCTGTGTGGAGGGCCTGAAGCCCACCTGTTTGCCGTTGATGATCGAGCTCAGCCTCGTCCTCCTGCGGAGAGAGTGTTTTAATAATTTATTAATAGCCAGAAGGAGGTTTCTTATTTTGGGGGCTGATGTCACTTTGAAAATTGGCTTTTCGAAGCATCTGGGTGTGTTGGACATAATCATATCAATTTACTGAAAAACCTCAAATGATAAAGATTGCCTTTTGCTTTCAAAGCCACTGTCAGATGAAACAGGCATTAAAAGTGATTTGAAGTTAAAGCTTTCACATTTTACCAGACGATCCTCATCATTTTACTTTGGAAATGAAACAGAATGAACTATTAAAGGAAAGGAAACTTGGCTGTACTTTTCTCCCACCAAAGAGGGAGGTGCTTCCTGAAATTATTTGCCTTACCAGCAGCAGCAGGCCCGTCTCTGTGTCCAGCGCCACACGGAGGGAACATTCCCATCTGCTGGCTGTCTGTGCTGCCTTCGCCGTGGTCACAGATGTGGATTGAGCCCATGGGGGAATTGGTTTGGGAATGGGGTCTCTGCCTCAGGGAGCACCCTCTACCGTGGGCAGGTGGTCCTCACAATCCCAGCCTTGGCTGGCCTCTCAGGACCTGTGGGCTCCCTTTGAGAGCTGGAGCGCCTGCCCTGGGGAAGGATGAGTCTTGGGGCACCCCACGGAAGCGCTTGGTGCTCCGTCCTCTTCTGTGAAATGGGGTCTTGGGGTTGAGACGAGGTCCTTAGTACTGCTCCGGTCTGGGAGGCCAAAGGGAGAAGCTGCCCTGAAATCCTGGATTCTCACAGGTGTTTCCCAGCTGGGTTTCATGTGTGTATCTGTGTGCTGGCTTCTGTCCCACCTGTGGCTTACTGCCCTGTGTGGGCTTCTTCAGCCAAGGTGCAGGCTCCAGATGGGGCTGGTCACACCCCTGCCAGCCACTGCCAGGAGCGCTGGAGACGCTTCCCTGAGATGGGGCAGTGGAGAGGCGCGGGAGGCCTCTGGGCGTGAGGCTGGAGTTCCCGGTCCCTCTTGCCTGCAGGGCCTGCAGGGCGGCTGGTCGGCTCCTTGCTGGTCGTGTGACTTGGGCAGGCGCCTGGTCCTCTTTTCATCTCTGTGAACCGGAAGGTACGGGCAGTAACGACTGGGTTGCTGTCAGGTTTGAGCCTCCTGAGCCACGCCTGGGAATTAACCATCCCCGGGTCTCAGTGGTGCTGCTTGCTGGTGGGTGGACACTTCCCGACCAAGGCTTTCTGGGGCCTGGTGACACTGAGTGCCCAGCCCTTTTGTGCACTTCCAAGGCCCAGGAAGGAGGCAGACCCTAGGACAGGCGGCGCTGGCGGTGGCCACTGAGGTGTGGATGAGTCCAGTTGTGGCCTCGGCGCTTGAGTTCTGGCCTGTTCCCTGGGCTGCTGCTCTCTTAGGTGGCGGGACACCGTGTTCGTCGTGGCCTGCCATGGCGGGGTCAGGGAGCCTTGCACGGTTGAACAGCTGAGCACATTTCTACAAGTCTCTTACAGGCAGTTGGACAGAAATTCAGATGAGCGTGAAGGAGGCGGCATGGCAGAAGATGTGAGGCCACAGTGGCCCAGATCCCCGAGGGCTTTGCCAGGCGGGCCTCAATTTAAAGTTGCTTTTGTTTGTTTCTCATTGAACGTAGCTTGTAGTCACTGAAGAAAGAGCCCTGGTCCAGCTGAGGTCACGGGTCATGAGGGCAGCTTCCAGGCATTTTCCCTTGTCTGTGCAGACCAGTGGGCATGTGCTTGTGGCGACATGTGCTCTCCTCTGCGATTTGTACCAAGTTGGCCGTGTCCATCTTTCCTTGGTAGTGAACGCTGTTTTTGCCATCTGAGGAGCTTCTCAGGGTGCGGCTCTGCTGCCCTGTTCCTCGCTAGCCCAGTGCCCGGTGCTCCCTCTCCAGGGCAGTGCCCTGTTCCTCGCTCGGTGCCTCCTCTCCAGGGCAGTGCCTCTGTTCCTCGCTAGCCCGGTGCCCGGTGCTTCCTCTCCAGGGCGTTCTGTTCTCGCTAGCCCAGTGCCCGGTGCTCCTCCTCCAGGGGCAGTGCCCTGTTCCTCGCCAGCCTGGTGCCTCGTGCTCCCTCTCTGGGCAGTGCCTCTGTTCCTCGCTGCCCAGTGCTCCGGTGCTCCTCTCCGGGCAGTGCCCTGTTCCGCTTGTTCGGTGTGCCCGGTGCTCCCTCTCTGGGGCAGTGCCTCTGTTCCTCGCGCCCAGTGCCCGGTGCTCCTCCAGGGCAGTGCCCTCTGTTCCTCGCTAGCCTGGTGCCCGTGCTCCTCTCCCGGCAGTGCCCTGTTCTCGCTAGCCTGGTGCCTCGTGCTCCTCTCTGGGCAGTGTCCTGCTCCTCGCTGCCCAGTGCCCGGTGCTCCCTCTCTGGGGCAGTGCCCTGTTCCTCGCTGCCCAGTGCCCGGTGCTCTCCTGGGCAGTGCCCTGTTCCTCGCTGCCCAGTGCCCGGTGCTCCCTCTCCAGGGCAGTGCCCTGTTCCTCGCTAGCCTGGTGCCCGGTGCTCCCTCTCCGGGGCAGTGCTGCTGTGACGGTGCTGCTGGCGTGGCTCGTGTGGCAGCATCTCGGAATGCTGGTGCCTCAGGCCGAGCTTCTGAAGTGACGGCTGGGTCAGTCGTGTGCCTGTTTTCAGGAGCTGGGCTTTTAGAAGATGAATGTTGCCTATCAGCCAGCGTGGCGTGCCTGTGAGCGGCCTGCATCGCACAGTCTTGTCTCACTTCCTGGGCGTTGTGTAACCTCCTCCTCTGCTGATCTGATATGCGGAACAGAGCGCCCTTCCCGCAGTCGCTGTCTTGGTGACTCGGTGTTCCTTTCACCAGTGTGACACATGTGACATCCGTGAAGCCAGAAGCCAGCAGGCACCTCAGCAGGTCCTGTGGGTCGGGTTCTCTGCGGAGTTCCTGCCGTTGCTGCCTTTGTTTAAGCTTGCATCAGTTTCTCTCCATAGTTACTGCAGTAGCATTCCAGCCTGTTTCAGGAAGGAGCCCGGACTCTCCCACCCAGAAGAGTTCGAGGCAGGGAAGGCAGCCAAGGGAGGGTCTGATGGGAACTTGCGGTGAAAGCCGGTGCAGGAAACAGATCATCCGGCAGTGAGCAGATGCCGGGTCGGAAGCCATCGCCTGCCTCGTTTGAGGAAGATAGAATGACACCGTATCTCGGAGTTAGCTACTGGGCCACCAACCAGCCTGGAGCGAGGAGGAATTTTCCCAGCATCGAGCTATAGTGTTGGCACTTTTTACTGGTGAAGCACAGTTCCAAACGCTGCTGTGAGCGGGACTGAAATTTCTTTCTGAATGTTTCTGCGCTCTTAGGACTGGAGGCTGGAAGCCCCGCGGTGGCACCTGTGCTGCATCCTGGTCTTGAGGCTGGAGTTTGTAGAGGCAAGAAGCTTCTGGAACTCTCAGTGCAGGACTTTGCTTTCCAGGGTTGCAAGGAGTCTGCTTGTTAGCTTTATGCGGGTGTGCTCAGGTGCTGTGCTGAAATTCCTGTCTCACAGCAAAGTAGAGTGTCTGTGGGGCTGCTTGAGGGTTCAGCGGGATGACGTTGGTAACGCGCCTGGTGCAGCAGCTCTCGGCAGTCCCCGGGACATGGTGCTGTGGCGAAGGGTCCGGGGCTGGCTGTGGAGCCGGGGCAGGCAGGGCTCTCAGCGGGCGGCGGGGCAGCTTACAGGGCACTGGCCATAAGGCGCTCCAGGAGGGCGGGGTACCTGAGTGCATTTCGGCCTGGGAATTGGGTCAGAACCACCAAACCCTGCCTCCTGTGTGTTTTTCCCTTCCTTCAGCCGTGGACAGATGGGGCGTCATCGGTCACTGGTGTGAACAGAGCCCGTCAGAGCTCCTGGTCCTCTTTACCTTGGGGCAGGAGTTTCAAGGCAGTGCGGGGGAGCCTGGCCTGGTTTGCACTGGAGCCTCGGTTTTAGCTCTTTGAATCTGATAATGCGCCTCCTGGTTGTTGAGGACAGGGCGTGCGGTTCGGAATCCGTGGGCGGGTCTGGTTGTGGGACTGAGGACAGGGCGTGCGGTTCGGAATCCGTGGGCGGGTCTGGTTGTGGGACTGAGGACAGGGCGTGCGGTTTGGAATCCGTGGGTGGGTCTGGGGCGCCCTCTGCTCACGCTTCACACAGGGCGCCCCGGGGCTGTCTTGT